GAGGAGAAGGGATTGTGGCGTGACCATCCCCTCTGGGGGGTGATTTGTCGCTTTCTGTCTCTATGTCTCTCTCTCTGTCTGTCTGGCAAGCGCACGCGCCCTATAGCGAAAACCTCTCCAAAAAAAAAAAGAATAGAGTTTTTATCATAAATGGAGACTTATTAGAGAAGTTGCAAGGCTTTATTCTCATGTGTGACTTAAAGTTCTTAGTACTACCAAAATCTCCTTTCTGTAACAATTTACTTGGAAAGCTACTTGACCATACTTAAAGTGACGTGCAAGGGTAATATCCTCCAATATGCAGGGTCTTCAAAAAGTTCGTGGAAAATGCATATTATGAAAAAACAATTCATGTTTTTAAAATATTTTTGCACCAAAATAAGCTAGTACTTTCATTCTAATTTTCCACAAATGTTTTGGAGTCACCTCATATAAGTGTTGCCTTGACAGTAAAAATAGTGAACTTTCCCTCCTACTTTAAAGCTTAGAAATGCCTAGCAGGCTGGGATGTTGCTAAGGGTACTTACATATCTTTTTTAAATACAAAGAAGAAGAAAGAATAATTTATAATAGAACAATGTATTCATTATGTAGATGCATTGGCATACTACCATATAAAATATTACCCATGAAATATCCAAGCAACTTTTAGAGTAGATACCACTCTCATGCAGAATCATTGTTTTAGAGGGTAATGGCACAGGCTTACATTAATAGCAGTCTTCCTTAATTAGAGATGATTCAGTTAGTGCTATTCAGAAATACCAACTGTCACTAGAATAACTTCAGGGCTTACAGATATAATGACAGAAAAGAGAATGCTTTTCTTGTACCTAGGTCAAAGTTTATTCATTCAACAAATATTTATGGAGCATCTACTAGGTACTAGTCTAATAAAACTGAATGAAATGGACCCGCTACCCTCTTAAACCTTATGCTCAGAAGAGAAGGGCAATAAACCAGTAAGTGACTACATTTCATACAAAGTAATGATAAATGCTGCAAAGAAAAATAAGGCAAGGTAAGGGGTAGCAAATGATCTTCCCATGTGTGCTGTACTGTTAGGATGAGCGGGAGAAGTTTGAGCAGAGCTCTGGGTGACTACCAGTAGGATGAACTTTCTATGAAGAGGAAAGAGGGATCACACTTGTGAAGAACAGCAAATGCTATTTAGCACCTAACATGCCAGGCTCCCCATTAGGCACTTTATTTTCCTTGTCTAATTTATTACTCCAAAATGAGCAACGAGGAAATCGATTCACATATATTAGAAAGTGTTGGAGCCAGGACTCAAACCCAGAACTGCCTGGTTCCAAACCCAAGGTACTAGATGAAAGGGGTTTTCAGGAGCTCACTTCCTCTTTTTTTTTTTTTAAGAGATTTTTTTGCTATAGGGTGTGTATGCTTGCCAGAGAGACAGGAGGTCAGAAATCACCTCCAAGGCAGGGTGGTGGTGGGGTGGCCACACCACAATCCCTTCTCCTCCATTCTCCTCTTGGGATTTTGGGTACGCACACACATACACCTGGAGTGAGTTTCAAGGCACCAAGTCTGGGACTTAAACAGCGGTCAGTCATGTGGGAATCCAGTGACATAACCATTATGCCACCTGCGTGTCTGGGGGAGCCCACTTCTTTTAGTGGTCTGTCACATTATGGTAAGAATACTTTAGTTCTATTCAGAGAATGGGGGACTGGGTAGAGAACTCGGAAACATAGTCATTCACAGTTCTTCATGTAGCAGTCTAAACACATTAAAGAGTAAAAAAGACTTGGAAGTATTGTGAACGGAAAACATTTCAAACTAAGTTAAAATAAAGTACTCATTTTGTGGACTTTCTGTGCCTTTTATTCTACTTGCTGAAGGATTTTTTTGTCACTGCTTTAGTTAATAATGTTGACTAAGCAGAGATATAAAACTCAGTCATCGTCACTGTTTAATGCTATAAAATTTTATTATGGTAGATTTAACACAAGTAATTGTAAACCAAGTGCTTTCTTAGGTACCCAAGTCCCATCTGGTGGTGAAACATGCATGTTAATGCTCGCTGTAGAACTGAAAAACTTAGGTGGGAGAAATTGTGTCATACTTTTTACCCTTATGGGATGGGGTCTTTTTAAGGGCTATTCAGTTTGTAAACATATTTATACTCTTCGGTACAATGCACTGTGAAATTGGGTCCAGATTCATTAAATAAGCATCATGGCTAACAGTTGAGTGTTGCTGCCTCCAAGCAGTATTCTAAGTGCTTCACACGCTCTGATCCTTTCATATGACTGGTATATCTAAAATCACAGGAATGTTTCATGGCTTACATCTGTTAATTCTAGTAACCCTGATTGTATCCCTAGGATAACTGAAGGAGCTGTGTGGTATGTTAAAACTTAGTTAAGGGAAACTTTGATCTAATTTTAAGGTGATTAAACAGATACTGAATCCCCAAAATGTAAGAATGTTGGTGTCACTTTTGGTACAATTTGTATTTATCTCAAGTATATGAGCTTGAAAAAATAAAATTAAGATACATTACTTTTTTTAGATTTAATCAGATAGCAGTTAAGAACATACAGAAAGGCACCATGTAAAATGGTTGTGGGCATAGATCTTTCTGTTGAAGTGCCTGAGTTCAGGTTCTAGTTCTTTCATTTACCAGCTCTGTGATCCTGGCTGTTTATCCAACCTTTGTAAGCCTCAGTTTCCTCATCTGTAAAATAGGTCCACTAATAATACATATCACCTTAGGGGTTTTGTTTTTTTTGGAGATTTTTGCTATAGGGCATGTGCATTCCCCAGAGAGATAGAAAGAAAATGAGAAATCACCACCACAGGGGATGGTCATGCTGCAATCCCTTCTCCTCCCATCTCCTTTTGGAATTTCGGGCACACACACACATACTCCCGGCATGAGTTTCAAGCTACCGGGTCCAGGACTCAAACCGTAAATTTGTCAACTACGTGGGAGTCCAGTGACATAACCATCCCACCATCTTCTGGTCCCTCTCCTTGGAGTTTTAAGATAATTTGAGTAATAATCTTTATAAAGTGCTTGGTAAATAGCAGCTAAAATGTATTAAGAACCGTCATCGGGGCCAGCAGGTGGCTTGGTGGTTAAGGGTGCTGAACTCCTACATGGCCTACTGTAGTACGAGCCCTGGACCTGACAGTTTGCTTTCTCTCTCTCTCTCTCTCTCTTTCACTCTCTCATTTACTCACTCCATCCTCTCTGGTCAAATTGAAAAAAGAATGAATTAATAAATAAAGTTAAATAAAATAATTTTTTAAAAAGAACCATCATCATCATCGTTTTTGTTAAGTTGAAAAACACCTGAAAGGAATATAAGTAAAGGAAGAAAAATTTCTTTCAGACACAAACTACTTGAAGTTAAAGAAAATACAGACACAGTAGCCTTACTGAGATATTTCTTTTAGTGTAAGATGTGTAAGACCAAATTATTTCAGTTAAGATGTCTTAATTTTATTTAAAAGTAGCCTCAGAATGCATTTTTAAATAATTAAATATTTCAACAGTAGAATTCATTTGAGAAACAGAACTTTGTAATAAATTATAATATCATTGTCTCTAAAAATAGCAAATTCATTATTAATTGTAGTAAATAGAGCTATATTGTAATATAGTGAACTCCTTGGCTATTTTTTATGTTAGATATATCTTTTTGAAGAAGTTTCACAACCAGTTAAGCAATGGAGTTTTAAATGACTATTGTGGTTTACATGTAAGTTTCAAATCTAATACTATGGCATTAAGATGTTTCTTTCTTTTTCATTTTGTCAGAGGGCACATGTACTCACCCCAGGGAGACAGAAAGAGAGGGAAAGGGAGAAAGTACCCCTCAACAGGGTGTGGTCACACCAGTCCCTTCTCAATTCCTCCATTTTTTCAGGATTTGGGACATGCACACACATGTGCCTGTTGTGTTTTTCAAGTCACCAGAGCTGGAATTTGAACCTTGTGGTCATCCATGTGAGATCCAGGTACCTTAACCATGAGGCCACAGGGCCAGTCCATAATAGATTTCTTAAATTCTTTTTTCTTTTTTTTGGAGAGGTTTTCGCTATAGGGTGCATGCGCTCGCCAGACAGAGAGAGACATAGAGACAGAAAGCAAGAAATCACCCCCCAGGGGGGATGGTCACGCCGCAATCCCTTCTCCTCCATTCTCCTCTCGGGATCTTGGGCACACACACACGCGCCCGGCGTGAGTTCTAAGCCACCGGGTCCGGGACGCGAACCGCAGTTGTTTACGTGGAAGTCCAGCAACATAGCCACTACGCTAACTGCTGGTTCCCAAATTCTTTTTTTTTTTTTTTAAAGAAATAAATTTTTGCTATAGGGCACATGTGCTGGCTGGAGAGGCAGAGATACAGAAAACAGGAAATCACCCCCCAGGGGGATGGCCATGCCACAATCCCTTCTCCATTGTCCTCTTGGAATCTTGGGCATGCATGCATACATGCCAAGCCACTGGGTCCAGGACTCACACCACGGTCAACTATGTGGGAGTCCAGCAATAAAACCAATTTACACCATGTGCTGGTTCCAGATTCTTAAAAGATAGTGGTTTTTTTCGGAAGTTGTTCAAAGATCCTGTTACTAATTGTTCAGAGATTCTGAATTAGATGGTTATTGGTATTTGTTTGGCAGAGAGTTTCTTTGGAGAGTTTATGTCAGCCCATTTCTTTTATCACATAAAATAAGAATTCAGACATTTAAAAACATGTGCCCAGAGGGATGTGTTACTTTTAAGAATACGTTAGAATTATTGAAATCATTTTAGGTAAAATTGGAACTCTAAAGAAATAAACAGAAATGAAAACAGAAAATTTTCAGAAACCACCTAAAACTTTGCACATAGTTCTATTTTTTCTATCCGATGACTTATAAATGTATTGTTATCCTCATTGAATTGAAATTTCTGAAACACTCAGCGTGTGTACATTAACCAGTTATGTATGTAATAATTACCATTTGTTTTAATAAAGGTTCAGAAGCGGAAAGAAGTGATATTCTATGGATAGCCATGGCAGGAACTCATCAGATATGGGCACTCCTATTGGACTCTTGCAAACTGCCGAAGAAAAAGTAAGTGGTAGGGTCTGTCTGGGCAGACTGTGCTACTACTTGGAGTTCACAGCATTTCCTTTCCCAAAGTCACCACCCTCACAATACTCACTGTACTGTCAAGATAATACACAAGGTTATATGGCCAGAACAGTCCAGATTCTCAGTGGCTTTAAACAAGCCCATTTCTCTTCACTCACATGGGCTCAATGGGAAACACTACTCGACTACCCAGACCCATGCAGCAGCCACCATCTGGAATTCTTAGGAGAACTGGAAATATTAGGTAGGTCCACACAGTGCAAACATTCCAGTCAGTCATTCAGATAGTAGAGTATCACACAGCAGAGTGGTTAATAACTCAGGTTGTGAAGTCAGACCTGAGATTGAATCCTGGTTCTGCCACTTATTTCTGTGTGTGTTTAGGAGAACCATTTGGACTTTGTAAGCCTCACTTATTTATATCACCTCATAGGCTTGTCTTCACAATTAATAATGTACGTGAAGGGGTTAGCATAATGCCAGGCCTGTACAGTAAACATACATCGCTTTGCTGCCACCACTGGGGATGTAAGGATGAAGAGGGTAGTGTCTCTACAGAGCTCCTTGTATCTTTATCACACAGCCTTACCTTTGCTGTATAACACCCCAAGCAGAACTGATGATGTTCATTGCAATCTCTCTACCCCATGTGTAGTTACATTACTGCACTGATAAATTCGCCTGCCCTCCTTCTGTCTTCCATTTTTCCCTTGCCCTGTCTTTTGAGTTTCACTTAAGTGTAATGTTTTCTCATATTAGACTGCCTCTTAAAGGAAGGGACACTGTTTCATTCTTTTTTGTGTCCCCAGTATGCAGCACAGCACCTGGTACACAACAATCACTCTGTAAGGGTTTGCAGAATAAATAAATGAGTGGAAGTCATAGATAGTAAAAGCTGTCAGATCACCATAGAAAGTAAATTCTGGTCATCTCAGTTACTGTTATGAGTAGAAAGGAGCAATGGTATAAATAATTCCAAATATATTTCAAATACCGTGTGTGTGTGTGTGTGTGTGTGTGTGTGTGTGTGTACATTGCTTTGGAATACATTTATATAACATTTTATATTACTTAATCATTCACCCAACAAGTATTTATTAACATTCTATATGCTAGGCACTATGCGAGACAATGGGAATGAAACTACATGCACATTGTGTTAAGGATAAAATGAAAAGATGTGGTTGCTGTCTTCAGTGGGCTTATAGATGCTAAGATCAGCAAACAAGAAATAGTGTGTATAAAAGGAATCACTGCAGTAGTTCCTTAAATTGAAATTGTCTTTTGTGTAATGAAAAGAACACCCTATATCAGTAAGATTTGAGATGTCAAAGGCCTCCCATTAGATACTTCTACACCAGGGCCTGCTAGAGGAGGAGGAATCAGACAGGGGATCTGGAAAGTTTTCCAGGCAAGAGTTAACGCTAGTGATCTTAGTAGAAGTCAGATCATGCAGTGCCTGTAAATTCTTTTAAGAGATTTGGACATTCTATAAGCCTTTATAAAAAGTCTTTAAGCCGGGAAGTGACATGATTAGATTTGTGTTCTTGAAAGAACAGCGGCAGTATTCAGAGTGGGGTAAGTCTGAAAAAGGACTGCTGAGGTGGCTAGTGCTAAGATGGCAGTAGCCTGACTGGTGAGGTTGCTCATAACATTTTACACGTGGGATAATTATAAACAGCAGAGAGAAGTAACAGCTTGATGAATATGCTGTTCTGGGTGATAGCTGTTTTGGGCACAGTTAAGGGCTGCCTATATCTCCTGATTAATAGAATTGTCACTTTCATTCATAATAGGAAAATGGTCACTCAGGTCACATTGACCTGCATCTCCATTTTAAGTATGCTTTATGTTTATTATTGATCTTCAGATGGTAATGAATCCTAATGTTTTAAGAGTTACTGCTTTTCCCAACTTTTGTATTTAATTAGGGAAGTTTTTGTTTGTTTTGTGGAGGGGAATCATGCATACACACTTGGCATGTTTTCCAAGACACTGGAATGGGACCCAAAATGTGGTCAGTCATGTGAGATCTGGCTTTCTCACACAGTACTTAAGTGTTGTGCTGTGGGGCCAGACCAGGAAAATACTTTTGCAGTGTTAAACTCCTTGTAATTACCTTTCAGTTTATTTGTTTTGGGTATTAGTTATTACATGCATTTCTTTAACTAGCTGAGTTTTTAAGGTTCTTTTTCTTCCATCTCCTGCTTACTACCTAGCTTAGCTTGGGAATGTATCAGCCAATAAGTGATGGCCATTTTAGACTTTTGTGTATTGTACCATGTTTGTAATGAAATATGTGTAGGCTCTCATTCTGGATGCTAGTCTGCTTTTTCCCATCACTCAACACAAATACTACCATGTCTTCCTTACAGTTCTTAGAAACCAAGGTTTAAAACTTTCTCAGCATTACAGAAAGAATCATTGCAGTAGGTCTTTTAAGTAGAAGTTTTCTTAGTGTGCATAAGAAATTGATTTGTAGCATAATCATCCTTAAAATGGTAATGCCTGACCTGACCATATTTTAAACACTCTTTTTAATTCCTTTCCCTAGTCTGTACTTACATACATGAAGCTAAGAAGTCAAGAAATTCATGGGACCAGCAGTTAGCATAATGGCTATGTCACTGAACTCCCATGTATCTGACCACAGTTTGAGTCCCGGACCTGGTGGCTTAAACTCACGTCGGGCGCATGTGCATATGTGCCCAAGATCCCGAGAGGAGAATGGAGAAGGGATTGAGGCGTGGCCATCCCCCCTGGGGGGTGATTTCTCGCTTTCTGTCTCTCTTGTCTCTCTTCTGTCTTTCTGGCGAGCGCATGTGCCCTATAGCAAAAACCGCTCAAAAAAAAAAGAAAGAAAAAGAAAGAAGTTAAGTTCAGATGGGGAAAAAAAAATTCTCACAAATGATCTGATCACTCTTATCTGATCATTCTAACCTGTCATGGATTTCCTGTCTCATCTTTGAGAGTGGTTTTGGTTTTGTGTGTATCAAAAGAAGTAGAAAGGTCCCTACGCAGGGGCTAAATAAGTTAACGATTAGAAAAACTACATGAAAGCTGACTTGTACAATTTAACTAGGCTAAGATTACTAGGTTTTTAAAAATAATGCCTATTACACTCATTTGTTTAATGACTGAGTTGGACGCAATATATCACATGTTGACTCTACCTATAAACTTGTCTTTCAGTGAGTTAAAAAAAGGAACTTGCCTTCGGTTTGCTGGAAGTGGAAATGAAGAGAATCGAAACAATGCATATCCTCACAAGGCAGGCTTTGCCCAACCTTCAGGTCTTTCTCTGGCTTCTGAAGATCCCTGGAGCTGCCTATTTGTAGCAGATAGTGAGAGCAGTACAGTGAGAACCGTCTCCCTGAAAGATGGAGCAGTGAAGCATCTTGTTGGAGGAGAAAGAGATCCCATGGTAATGAAAATCCCTTCTACATTGTCTGCCCAGGCACTGAACAGGACAGCAACTTCCTGAACTATGGAGAGTTAAACAGTGTAGGAGAGATTATTCTTGGCCTATCCATGAGATAAAATGGAACTCAAACCAAAAGAAATGTGTGAATTTATAGAAACACAAGTAACAAAACCATCTAAGAAAAGTAAACACTCTACTTGATTATATATACATGTTAAGACTTCAGAGAGAAAAAAGGAATAAAATATTAATAACTAGAAAGAAGAGAAAAATGTAAATTAGCTATTTGGCAGCGGGTTAGGAAAAGTGTCAGATGACTAGCAGACTTGACCTCTTCCTGACCAGATGTGTGACTGTGGTGAGTAGAGCTACTGAACACCACACATTAACACAGGTTTAAAATTCCTTCGTTTTTGTCTCATCTGAACCAAGTTTCTAGTGCTATTTATAGAAAATCAGACCTTTTCCTTTTGGACTTTAATAGCATATATATACAACTGTCTTCATTTTCACTTCATATCCTCTAAGAAAGTGCTATAAAAATGTTAATGCCTACTGTTTTATTTTTTCTCTTTATAAAAAATGAAAGAATTTATTTGCTTTTGGAGATATTGATGGAGTAGGAATCAGTGCAAAGCTTCAGCACCCACTTGGAGTAACATGGGACAAGAAGAGAAATTTACTTTATGTGGCAGACTCCTATAATCACAAGGTGAGGCCTGACAATGATAGAATACCTCGCTTTTCACAGACGGTATCTAAAATGCTGAAAGGTTGGTGAGACTCCTACAAGTGCCTCTCTAAAATACAGAGAGAAATAGCAGTCTTTGACATGGTATACTAGCTTGTTCTGTTCTATTCTTGGTCTTTTCACTGCCAAGAGTTTATGATGTTACTCAGAGTTAGGGTAAGCACTAAACCATCTCTGATGCTAAAGACAGAAATTGTGAATTGCTTCCATCAAAGCTGTCTAGTAATATATGCAGTAAATTAGGAGAAGGTAAGTAGCAGGGAAGTTAACATGTCAGCCAACAAATGAACAATTTTAAGCTATTACATACCTGCAAAGCCTGTCAGTTATATTTTCAGTAGCTCTTCCATTTTTGTCTATTCACTTGTTTCGGTTTTCATCACATTCTTATAAAAATCAATAGATAATAAATGTTATTACTTTGTGATGAGATATAACTGACAGTCATTAAGTTTAATAAAGGTAGCAAATCCTCTGGCAGTACTAGATAGATGCCTATAAGAATAAACACAGTTCAGTTTTAAAAATATTTCCCATTATGAAGAAAATCAGTAACATTTAACTTTTTTTTAATTCTAGGAATAGTTTTATCAAAGATTGCTTCTATGAATAGAAGGCAAGATGTAACTAGGAATTTTTGCATAGTTTTTTAGTTTCTAAAATGAAGTGTCTCCCCATAGACTGTAATTTTAATGTTTGCCTTTTTAAGAAAATAGGAGTTTTTGAGAAGTTAATGGAAAAAGCATATGAAAAACTAAGATGATTTTCAAGTTTTTTGTACCAAAATAAATTTGTACTTTATTCCATTTTCCATGAACTTTTTGCAGTCCCCATGTTTGGCAGTATCTATTCTTTTTCTGGAATATATTAGGAATACTAATGACAATCAGAAATTCTGCAGTTTAATTGATACGTACCCTTGCATACTCCAACAATGAGATTCTTCAGATATGTACATTTTTCTTCTTTCCTCTTTAGATTAAAGTTGTGGATCCACAAACAAAAAACTGTACGACGTTAGCAGGAACTGGAGACGCAAATCATGTTATCAGTTCCAGTTTTACTGAGTCAACCTTTAACGAACCAGGAGGATTGTGTATCGCAGAGAATGGTCGCTTATTGTATGTAGCAGACACCAATAATCACCAAATTAAAGTGATGGATTTAGAAACAAAAGTTATTTCTGTGGTAAGGATTCTTAAATATAAGTTAAAGGAAGTGTTTTTAAGACTGGTAGAGTGTCAGCAGCACTGAGAGGAATTTTGGTTCAGCCGTCTCTAGTTTTGAGATTGATGCATGTTGGGATATAGTAGTAAGGAGATGCTTTCTTTGATAAGCAGGACTGCTTTGAGGATATCCTGTTATTCCTAAAATGAAAGTTCCATCTGTGCTGAGAGTTTCACAACGATAATAGAAGTTGGAGAGAATTTGATGAACCTTCAAGGAAAAAAAGAGAGGACTCAGATCTGGTTTTTTGTTTTGTTTTGTTTTTTTGTTGTTGTTTTGAGAAGTTTTTGCTATAGGGCACGTGTGCTCGCCAGACAGAGAGAGACAGAGAGACAGAAAGTGAGAAATCACCCCCAGGGGTGATGGCCATGCCACAATCCCTTCTCCTCCATTCTCCTCTCAGGATCTTGGGCACTCACGCACACGTGTTCAGCATTGAGTTTTAAGCCACCGGATCCAGGACACGAACCGCGGTCGACTATATGGGAGTCCAGTGACATAGCCATTACAGTAACTATTGGTCTCTCAGATCTGTTTTTAATTATATAGGCATACTGACATACTCTGTGGGTTGGGTTATGTAGCTTTGTTTCCTATGGTGAACCCATTACCAAATAATATTCCAAAGGAAGCTTTAGAAGCTGCATTTCTTAGACATTAAAAATAATATCATGAGAAAGCTAAAATAAGTTATCACCATTTTTTAAAAAAGAATTATTTATTTATTTATTCATTCATTCAATTTAATTTGACCAGAGAGAGAGAGAGGGAAAGTGAGAAGGCAAGCCATGAGGTCCAGGTCTTGAACCGTGGTCGACCATGTGGGAGTGTCCAGCACCTTAACCACTATGCCACCTGCTGGTCCTTATAATCACTTTTTAAAGATAATAGACATGGTCCCTAATAGGAGGAGATTTCAAAAAGTTCATGGAAAAGTAGAATGAAAAGATAAATGAAAAAAATACAAACTTTATTTTTCAACATAATCTCTGTCAAGTACAAGACACTTATAAGCAAGAAGACCAGGCATCAAGTCCTTCCCTATAAGAACTTTTGGTCTTGGGAATTTAACCATGTCAATGCAGTCATTTTTTTTATATTATTAACTAAATTAAAATAGGTGCACTTTAAAGATTTTTGTTTTTGTTTTTAAGATTAGGAAACAGAAATAATTCAG